GGCTGTCTGTCGTGTGGAAGAAGGATTAAGACTTTGAATGCAGTTGATGTTATTGTAGGTCATCCTGCTTTGTGTAACATCCTGCAGCATATCCCAGTGCTTGTGGCTAGAATTGTAAGAGGGAGTTTTTAAGCTTTATGGAGTCTTCAGGAAAATTCAGTTCAAGAAGTGCAAAATCAAGGGATTGTGAAGGTTCATTAGGTAGCACAAATGAGTGAAAGGGACTGGGTGCAGGAAAATGGGTGGGGATATGAGAGCAATTTTCAATAATGGTTTTAAAATGTGATAAAAAGAAAGCCACAGCATTGTGTCATAATCCAGTGACTATGTCCAGGAGTGGCCAGTTGTGACCCACAATCTCATCCAATCCTAGTCTTTCTTTCAGGTGAGGAAACGGGTCTAAAAGTCATAGTGTGCAAGATAATGAAAGGTGTAAATGTGTGCATATGTATCAAAACCACACCATTTTTAATGAAAGAAATATCCACACATTTGTACTTCTGTACAATTTAGGGTAATATATAATTTTAAGCTGTTTACAAATAACATATTATGCTTCAAATATTACATAAGGTTGATAATACATTTCTAGCAGAAATAAATATATTGCACTTAAAAAGAACTTCATTAGATGTTACTTCATAGTATTCTTTTTTTCCATAAAACATTTCCCATGCCCTGCCCCCGTCCCAACACACACACAGACACACACGCGCACACACACACACACACACACACACTTCATGACAGTGACTGTTCTCACACAATTCATTAAGCAAATGAAGACACAGCAAACAACAAAACTGTGATAGAGTCTACTAAAGAGGCTATACCCAATTTCATTCTTTAGCAAATAAAAGAACTTTTAGGTTTCTGAAAAAATATTTAAAATCTAAATACAATATGTTAATGTACCAGAAGTAAAATACAACAAATTGTATTTTTTGTCCAAATGTCACACACAATTTTTTTATTTTCTTATTATCAGGATATTTTTATTTAAGGGGAAAGGACTGAAATTATTTGAGGGAGGGACAATAAAAGAAGGCTAGAAAGTACTTATGAATTATTTACCCATCAAATATTTATAAACAAATCTTTCTATATTTAAACCTGCAGGCAAAAAATAAGTATTGGGATATTTTATAACTGGCATAGACTAGTAAATAGTGAAGAAAGGGTTTTATGATTTTATAGAGTTTTAGAAGTCTAACTTTCCCTTTGCTTGCTTCTAAAAAAACATTTTTTCATTCTAAAATAATTTTAAAATTTACATAAAACCCATCATCGGCCAGGCACAGCTCTGTAGAGGAGCAAGCTGTCTATTGCTTTGTCTAGATTTAGGGCATAGTATTGCTTTATTTGTAATAATTATCAATTCCCTCCCCATTTGATAATGAAAAGTTTTCCTTATTTAATCAATAGAATATTGAATAAAAACACTAGTTTTCTTCCAATAGGTTAACTGGCAGATTACATACTGAATTTTTGGAGTTTATTTACTGAGTCACCACTAAGCTTGTCTGTGTATTTAATGGGGTGTGAAGTTATACCATCCATTTTATTTGAAGGTGATTTTTCTTGATATGTTTCAGCTTTATATAAGCAAGACAGACTGAAAAGCTAATGTGAAATATGGAAATGGGATAAATATTCTAACATCTGCCTGAAAAAATTATGAGCAGTATGGGATAAGGACACTTCACTTCTCCAAATATTTCTTGGACTTTTAAAGGGTTTCCTCTTTTTTTTTTTTTTTTTTTTTGGTTTGGGAATGGGATTTTGCAGTTGGAGAAACAAAATGATAGTGATATGGAAAAGGGAAGATCCTGGAATACCCCAAAAGTTAGAGTGACTCTTATAGCAAAGCCTTACTCAAAAGTTTTTTGCTACATAATCTCTATCAGGAAGCTTCCTAATGCCACCTATTCTGTGCCCACCCACTAGGAGTGCCAATAGCCCTGACAAGGGACTAACAATTGAATTCAAAGTTATTCATCTAGACCTCTTACCTAATAATTTGTGGTATGTTAAACTCATAATCTGGATATATTTACCTATGAACTTCTAAGGATAGGCAGAAGAAGTGGGGGGAGTTTTACTAAATAAGTAAAAAGAATAACTAACTTAGAATTACTAATGAATGCTTTAAAAACAAGTCACAAATGCAGATGCTACATTATGATGTAGCATCATATGATTTAATTCCTTAGAGTTTTATAAAACAAGTCTGAAAGGAACTCTTTCTAGCAACATTGCTTTCTGAAACTATAATATACATAGAGAGAAAACGGTGAATTTGTCCCAAATATATTATAATTCATGGTCATTATTAATCAATTGGTTTTCTCATTAAATATCTAGTTCTTGAAATCACTTTTGGCAGAACAGGCCTTGGAATTTTAAATAGTAAAGTCCCAAAGATTAATAACAGTCAACAAACAGAACAGCTCAGAAAGCCTAAGTGGGGTAAATTTCTACTCCTTATTCTCCTAGCCAGAGTGATTGATTCAGGTGAGCTCCATTTCACTTGTGTGGCTTGTATCTGGTTCAAGTAACTCCAATACTTGAAAAATATATCCAATTTAAAATTTCATGTATGGTTCTTCCAGGAGTTTGCTTTGTATTTCTCTAAGCACTCTACTTATTTTTAGTTTCATAGTGATTTATAACAAAACAAAGTTATAAAGTAGGAAATAGTGGTGTAAAACCATACATAGTTAACAAAAAAACCCACACAAACCTACTTTGAGAGACGCAGATTGGGAGAATGGCCAAAATAGTATTAAAATAATCTTTTCATTCTCTTTGGAAAGAAAATTCAGATACAAATTTACTTTTGTATACCAGTAATTTATCAGGGTAATGAGTAGCATACAAAAAAATGACTTTTGTTTTTCCTGCTTTAAGCAATGACACTCTATTCAAAGGAGCACTGGCAACAGGCCAGCTATTAAATTTCAAAGCCCTATCCTAACTCTACGGATATTTATTTTAAACATTATTCATAACTGTTTTTTAAAAGAAATGCACATCTGTACTTTGAAAAGGAGCTACCTATGGATACTACAGCATAGCATGCAAGAAGATCAAAAATTAACCAGCAATGTCTGCCATGGGACTTTAAAATGTTTTTGTTTACACAGTCCATACTTCTTTGTGAGTAAACTTTGTGACTGGGTGGATGATGGCAAGTTAAAAACCCAACAACAGCATCACATAGTCAGGATGTGCCAAATGCCTTGTTTCCTCGACTGGACATGATCAAGAAAGGCATTTGATGTGCAAAAGCCTAACTTTGAGACAACCAAATAAAATCCCATGGGAGTTAGATGTGATTTACCCCCAAATACAATTCTACTATCAGTGGCAATAGTTCCCATTTCTTCTAACAGATTCAATACTTTTGCAATAAGAACAGAGTATAATGAAAATTAGATACAAAAATTAAATTAAAATAGAGTTTGGAGAGAAATTTGCTAAGAAGACAGTTTATATTCTGTAGCTAGAATGCATTATATCCAAAGTTGAAAGATGATTAACTTCATAAAATCTCTATTATTAGGAAATGTACTATTGCAAAATGCCAATTGCATTACTGACTACTAAGATATGTGTTACTCAAAAATAACATAGGTTACATAGAACTAAAATATAATTAATTATTATTCTTCACATAAGAGAAAGGCTTCATAAGATAGCAAGGGTTGAAAATAAAGTGGATGAAGCTTTAATTTGCTTATAGAACTGCCAGTGTTTCAGTCAGGGAGTCATTGAGTTAACATGCAATTTCATACTGGGGGCTGATAAAAATGGTAAAGATGTCTGAAAGCACAACATAGTAAGAGAAAAGAATTAACCCGATGTATAAGCACATTGCTTCTTATGTGCACACATTAAGTCATGTCCATCCAAGCATTTTGAGTGGTTGTACTCAAATTCATGTCAATCAAGAGTGGCAACAACAAAGCAGACTTATCAAAAAATGAGAATTTGGCCCAAAGCATTTTAACATTCATAAGGTCTCCCAAAGCTGAAGTGAAAATGAAGGGGCTTTTGGCTCCCATGTTAGAGAAATTCCCTTCAGAATAGGACACCCATCTTTGTATTGCAGCTATAAGTGAAAGAAAGCCTCACATATCATGCAGAGGATCTGGAGTGTAGCTCAGTGAGTAAATCAGTAGCATGTCTAGAATGCAGCCCAGAAAAAAAAAATCAACCTCAGTTTTATAATGTAAAACAAAGAGCTTTTTCTTCAAAGGTGTATACAGAAGGTTTTTTCTTACATCACTAGCAAGTAATTATAAGAAGGAGAATTGGGAAGAAAGAAGACTAAAGACCAAGCTTGCTGAGTACTGGAGTACTGGCCCTTCGATAGAGAAAGAAGAACTTGGTGGTGGCATTACCACAAATCATCCACAAAACAGGATGCATTAGCATTATCTCAGCTCCTTCCCCAGCAAACTAACAAAGGAAAACTAAACATGCTTAAGTTCTAGCACTACAAACATTTCTCTATTGGCTCCCATTTTGTACAGGGAGAAATATGATCAGTATGCTATATAGTATTGCCTCTTTGAAGATTCTTTAAACCTGTGGAAAGCAGAAATAAAACCTATACACATTGATTTTATACATTACTGCATCAACAGCATTATTAACTACTAGGAATAACGCACCTTAAGATTCACCTTCCTTATATTATTAAGCTTTCTGGATAAACTGATATCTTGTTAGTTGCAGGACTTAGGCTAGTAAGAACTTTACATTGATTCTGTATAAAACCCAAGCGCTATCTCCCAACTAAAGATGAATCCTGGTCCATGATGCATTCCCTTAACTGTAGGCTTCATTGTGAGTCCAGCTCTCGTCTTCAATAGATCATATGTTTCCTTGAGAGCCCCAGCTCTGATATCCCACATCCCACCCACCCAACCCTGCCTTATATTTTCATACCCATTTGCACATTCTGGATCTAGGTTCTTCCAGTCCCAGAAGAGTCATACAAATGGTGTCATCACAGCAGAGGAATGGCGTAGTCCTTGGATGGCAGCATAGGGCCCCTGCTGGAAGTAATGATGGTATCGTGGCATGTGGAATGAAGGGAATGTGGGACCACTCCCTTGCATGGAGCTGGCAATGGCTGATGGGGTCAAAGGCATTCCCAGTCGGCTATATGGTGGCAGAGAACCCTGAATGGGGTGAGGAATGGGTGTTGCTATGGACGCTGTGCTGGTGCCAAGAGCAGTCAGGGACTGTGGGTGCTGAAATCCAGGAAAACTGGAAGAAGATGACACCCAGGAGCTGAGAGACAAATTGTCAGATGTTGTAAAGGCTGACCCTGTAAAGAAAAACATTCATTAGACAGGAAATGCTATGTCAATGCACAGATCAAGAACTAAATTATCTGTAAAGATCTATTTATTTTCAAACATATCTAATAGATCTAATTTTAAAAGACAAACCTACATGAGATTTGTCATAGGGAAAACCCACCTTTCTAGATAAGAAGAAATCATTTACACCATGCATGGAAGGAAGAATTTACTTTACAGAAAAAGACTTAAGTCATTAGATGACCTGTATAATCACACAGAATGGCAAAACACTAATACCTTGCCTGCAGGTAACAGCCTGATTGATTCTCCTTAAAGGAGCTCCAAATATCTGATATTTGTTCTTTTCTCTGAGCCTTCCTAATAGAGAAAGTTTGTTTGGTTCTGACTCTCATATGATACCCTTTATCAGGACACTCCTCTTTTAAAAGTGTTTTCCATTTTGGTCTTTGATTCTACTAAGATATTCTAATTTGGGCTGAACAGATATATTCCCTAATTTTCAAATTATAAACTTGAGTTTCAGGAAGACTAAGGACCCGTCCCCCCAAGTTTCAATAGCTCTTTGTAGTAAACTGCAGGCAAGTATCTGCTGATCTGTGGCTCAAATGCTCAGTTTTCTTTTACTAGAAAACCAGATCTCAGGCAGCATAATCATTTACAACTCAGGCAAAATAATGTAGTGTATGAGGATTGGCAATGGATGCTAGCCCTCCTGAAAAGGCCTGAAGTGAGGGTCAAACATCTCAACTGCCTCCCTTCGTTCTCCTTTAGGTGCTCAGGCTCCCAGCAGCTCCATAGCCCTGGAGCTGCCTTACCTCGATTTTGGGTTGTCTGACTTTCATCCCCCAGGACATCCTCTTCTCCTCCATAGGTACGGATAGGTGAGCGGGCATAGGAATGCTTCTGGATCAGGCTCTCCACACTTTCCCTAGGTTACAGAATGGCAAATCATGAGTTCATTGCAAAGTTTAAAACTCAGAGATAGAGAAGGAGTCTTAAGGACAATTCACTACTCAAGGAATTTGTTTTCTCAGCAAAAAGGAAACCACTTCAGGGAAAGATGACATTCAAACATTTAAACTTATTCTATTATGCACCTCAGGCTCATCAATGCAAGCAAACATAACTGGACAAGGGTTTCTCTCATGCATGGGAGTCAAAAAAGTAGAACTGAATGTAGAATATTGATTACTAGAGGTTAGGAAGTAGGGGTGGGAGGGTAGATAATAAAAGAGGCTGGATTTGATTAGTGCATGTGGTATATATGTATTGAAATATCACACTGAAACTCACTAATATGTACAATTAGTAGAACAGCGTTTATGATTGGTATATGTTAATTAAAAAAAGAAGGATAACTTAGCATAACATGGGCCCTAATTAATCTACTACTGACAGCAATAAATTTCAATCATTATTTAATCTGGTAATGTTGAATCTAGCAGCCTTAACAGCTAATATCATGTACTCAAAGACTTAATTTACTACAATATTAGTAACCTGAGTTATTAGAAAGGAAGTCAATGACCTGAATGATCCAGAATAAAATGACAATTATACATTCAAGCTGATGTCCTTCAAGTCTGAGCCACAGGTGATATTGTTAGTATTTCAAATAAAGTTAGAAAATAATTAGGAGGTTGTTTTCACATAAGGAAAGAATTTGCTTCAATAGTCTAGAAAATATTTTCTTTTTGGATCGTTATAAAGGGATAGCCATAGATGGGCCCAAATTATGAATGGTATATTCCTCTTTCCATAATTTGTATGTGAAATACTAAATCCAAGCATCTAAATTCAAAAAGAATGTAATATTTGCCTCTCCAAAAGTGCCTTTATTGAAGATCATTTAAACATCTTTCACATACACACAAAAGAAAACTCATTTTCCAAATAACACAATGAATCACTGCTTTGTGAAACAGCTTGCTTTTCTATAAAAAGTACATTATATTCATTTTGTCCTTGCTAGATTGCTGGTATCATTACTTATGCTAGTCTCTAGGAGGAGGGATTTTATCAAAGTGATTTACTTGTGTTAGACCTGGAAGTGAACTGAAAGCAATGGCAGTTCTTATATAAAGGATGGCATAATTGCATTATTGTCTTTTAAGTGATTGAACACAGTGGTGCATATCAGAGCCATCTCTTCAAAGACATTACAAAGAGTAGCCAGCCTATGTTGTTTACTTTGTATCTAATCCCTGTTTGCAGCAGAGTGGAAAGTGCAAAAATTTTCTTTAGCCTGGAAGCCTATTGCAAGGATTTCTAAATGCTGTACCCTGAAAAATGAGGGATGACTCACCTAATGGGTTGAGTGATTTAGGTATTAAAAACTCTGACAGTATCTTGTAATGCTCAGTTCTGTTATGTCCCAGTAGTTTTGGTAGACTAATCTTTGTGTTTAAGATGTAAATAAAATGGTATCACTATTGAAAGTTAGTCTTTCTAGCACCTAATTCTAAATTATTTGTCTAAGCAAAAAAGAGTATATCATTGCTTTAGGTGATCTTCAAAGGATCCCTTTCAACTTCTTTGTAACCATCCATTCTAGGAATAAAATATCCAGAGGCATTATCATAACCAGACGAAGGACAAAACAGAGGGTAACAGTAATAATTTTATTTCTCCTCCCAAAATGCTTAGAACCACTTAAAGTCAGACTATTTGTTCAAACTCTAGACAAGCAAAGCCAGCATATTCTACCAGTATTAGAATTGGTTGCCCTTCCACTATCTTTGAAACTAAAGTGCAAACTTCTCAATGCTCAAAAAAGCAAAACTTTCCCCTTCCCTTCACATTCTCCTTTGTATTACCACAGTTCTGAACATATTCCCCTTGTACTGCACTTACTATATTTATGGCAATTATGTGCTTGCATGATTGTCTCCACTATGAGCCTATGGGGCCATGGTCAGGAAAAGAACAATGCTTTCTAGGCAGTGGTTCTCAGATGTCAGCATGCAGCAGAATCACCTACAAGGTTCCTCAAAACAAAGACTATCCAGTCCCACCCTATAGCTTTAGCAGGTGAGGAGTGGCCTGAGAATGTGATGTCTGATGGATTTCCAGGTGATCCTAATGCCACTGGCCTAGAGGCCACACTCAGAGGACCAATGGGGAAGTTAGGAGCATTTATGCTAGAATGACTTAAATCCTAACTTGGCCACATGTGAGCTGTGTGCCTGAGGACAAAGTACCTTACCTCTCTATGTCTCTAGTTTTTCTCCTGTATAATGAGGGTTTTAATATGATCTCACTCTTAAGGTTATTATTAAGATTAGTGAATTAATTTACATAGGGAGCTTACTTAGTAGGTGACACAAGGGTGCTCAATAAATACTTACAGGTAACAAAATTGGTAGTATCAAGATTACGTGTTCTGAAAGCTGGCTGGCTATATAATCATATTTGTTTCAGATGAAATTGAAACTTCTGTTACCTACATCTCTCCATGATTCATTTAAGCCTTCCTTCCAATACATACATCGGAAAGGAAATTAAATAAAAATTAAATGTACCAATTTAAATTCTATCTTTTTCTTTCCAATTTGAACCTGGCAGAAATTCTGTTCAAGGAGATGTCAAATCCATTAAAATTTAATTTATAGGGAGCAAAATACTTAAAGTTGTTCTTGCCCTTCAATTTGCTCATGATTATATCATGTCTCACTGGGTCTTTATAAATAACTCCTTGTCACAATATTTTGCTAAAGATTCATGTAGATATATTATAAGTTACAATACATCAATACTTGTCGAGTCCACCAAATTCTTAATAAATGAAAACTTTTAGATAATTCAATTTGACATGTATTATAAATCATTAATTTTAACTTGAGAACTGAAATATATTATGCAATCCATTCTGGAGAAATAAAATAACCTCAAATTAATCTTTTTAAAAGCTTTTAGACTTTATTATTTTATTACTTAACTAAATCCTATTGATTTTTCTTTTTGGTAGTAATATATATTTCTAGTTTTATATTATCATTAGCAACTTAAAGAAATACAACATACCACTGGGGAAAAACCCCCAAAACTATTATGCATAGTTTCCTATGTCTCATGGCTATGCCAACTACTAAAAAGGTCTTCTGCAAAGTACAGACTACTCAACACATAAACAAACTTCAGTAAGTTGTGAAACAGGGAACAAACATTCTTTATACCCAGACAGACACAAGCAAGAACAGAGTAGGATAATTTACGACTGTAAGTCAATTTCATTCTCAGACCCCTAAATTTCATTCTGAGACTCACTGGTTTGTTTGGCACTTCCAGTTAAGTTTTGTAAAATAAATGTTTCCTCTTAGAAGTTGTGGATAAATAAGTAACCCTTTAAATGCAGACACACATCTTGCTAATTCAAAGATTTCTGTAGTGACCATTTTCATAATTTGAAAAAAAAAAGAAATTAGCTCTGTTGTTTTAACAAATTATTTTCTTTTTATTAAATTAATAGATTGTATTAAAAAGCAACATTTAGCCTAATTACCAAACAAAATGCCTTTATTTTATGCATGAAGACTTTCATACTAAGTTTACCTTCATTGGAGATTTTTTTAGAAATTGTTTCTTTCATAAGAAACTGTACAACCAGATTCCGATTTCTTCTATAAAATGAGGGTGTGATGGAGAACTGGTGGGATGAATTAGGGGATCCTGAAGGATCATTGTGGCTCTAATGGTTTATGAATCTCTAAATACAGGCTGCACTGCATGACATTTCCATCCATGCCAGACCACATACATGAGGATGGTTATGTGTGATAGCCTACGTGTGTAGTCAGTCATATCGCCTAGGTTTGTGTAAGTACATTATGTGATGTTTGAACAACTGTTTGATTGTCTAACAATGCAATTCTCAGAATATATCTCTGTCATTAGGCATGATTGTATATAAACGAAAATAAAACTTTTTCAATAGCTGTTTTGTAAAAGTCCAGTATTAGATGCAAAGAACCTTGGCTTCTAATCCCAAATCTCCTACTATTTGTGTGGTTAGCCCTAGGCACATTGCTTGAGCTATCTGTGCCCCAGCTGCTTCATTGGCATAATGACAGGGATAAACTGAATAACTCCTAAATTTCATTCTAACTTCAAAATAAACGCTTCTTTTTAAAGTTCCATGTTAAAAGTACAGTGCCAGGGCATACTGTAATACACATAATATAGTTTAAAATAATTTCTTACTTTTTAGTCTTTATTTGAGAGTTAACTATAATAATAATTAAGAATAAAGTTATTTTCATTCCTACAAGATTAGAATATTAAGTGTTGTTCTATAGTCCCAGAGATAACATTCAATTTTAAACTCCTCAATTTCTGTCTGTTTGTTCAGACACTGGCTATGGTCTGAATGGTTATGTTTCCCTCAAATTCATACATTGGAGCCTCATCCCCCAATGTGATGATATTAAAAGGTGTGGCTTCTAGAGGGACTATGTCATGATGGTAGAGCCCCCATGTATGAAGTTAGTTCCTTATAAGAGAGCCCTGAAGGAACTTGTTTGCTTCCATCAAGAGGGTACTATGAACCAGAGAGAGAGGTATAAACCAGACACCAAATCTGCCAGCACTTTGATCTTGGGCTTCCAAATTGCAGAACTGTGAGAAATTAACGGTAGTTGTTTGTAGGCTACCCAGTTTATGATCTCTAAGTACAGCAGCACAAATGGACTAAGACATAAGCAAACAACATTGTACTCTGCATCCCATCTCTCCAACAGAGGTGATACAGATGTCCTCTGTCCTCTCCTATCTCAGAGCTCTAGTCTGGTCTATGGCTTCTGTTACAGAATGTGGGTCCCAGGAGAGCACTAGGTCAGGAGGAGCAGGGGAAAGAGCTAAAGGGCGTAGTCCATTGGTACTAGACCACCATTTTTAATATTTTTACATTCAAGTAGCTTGTCTCTTACATAG